TCCAGGAAGCCTGAGCACTAGTCCTTTTCCTGCCCGCGCCCCCTCCCAGTGTCTCCTAGAGGTGAAGTCCGTGAACTCGAGCACTTTGCCCTCAGCACTTTTCATTCAGTGCTCTGAATGTTTCCAGCCTGGCAGACCTGCCCTGGAGTTCTAGGGGCTGGGGGTTGGACCCCTGGAGGCACCTCCAGGATCTGCTGAATGAAAGGACCTGTCTGTCCTCTCCTTCTCTAGGACACAGGGATGCTGGCATGGGGCCCACAGCTCTCCCCTGGTTCTGGCGCTGGCTGCAGGCACCACCAGCCACCCCCTCCCACGCTGATGTCCTTCGGATCTATGCAGATGCCCAAGGTGGGTCTGTCTTCCTTCTGGATCCTGGCCTTGGGCAGGGCTGGTGTGTGTGTGTGTGTCAGGGGCTCTGAGCTGGGGTTCTGCTGCCACCTCTGTCCTCTCTTTGCCAAGAGGATGGGAAGAAAAACCATCTGAAACCACAAGGGCTTCTCCCCTACTTGAGCCTGGAAACAACCCTGGAGTTAAGAAGGTGAAATCGCTTTTTTGAGGCCATACAGCTGGTAAGTGGCAGGGCTGAGATTTGAACTCTAATCTGTCTTTCCTGCTCTGCACTCTTTCCGCTGCGTGTGCTGCCCTTGAGCCAGACTCAGGGAGACTCCAGGGATGGTGGAGTCCTGGGTGCTGAGTAAATGCAATTGATCCCTCTTGCAGGCAACTCTTCTGGGGGCTTCACGCCAGGGAACTGTGACCAAGCAGACATCCTAATGGTCTATGCAGCGGCCGAGGGTAAGGGGAAGGGTCATCAAGAAGCCTCGTTACACAGGACCCAGCCTGGCTGGAGGTCTGGTGTGGCTTTAGTGGCAGCTGGGGCTTGACATGTGTGGCACAGGGTCATCCATCTGATTCCCATTAGGTCATTTTCCTTTCATGTTTATTATTATTATGTTTTTTTAATGTATTTCTTTATTGATTTCAGAGAGGAAGGGAGAGGGAGAGAGAGATAGAAACATCAATGATGAGAATCATTGATTGACTGCCTCCTGCATGCCCCCTACTGGGGAATGAGCCTACAACCCTGGCATGTGCTCTTGGCCGGAATCTGGGACCCTTCAGTCCACAGGCTGACGCTCTATCCACTGAACCAAACCAGCTAGGGCTCATGTTTATTATTTATAACTAGAGGCCCGGTGCACAGATTCGTGCACCAAGTGGGTGCCTCAGCCTGTCCTGCAGAGATTGTGCCGAAACTGGCTCTCTGACATCCTCTGAGGGGTCCCGATTGCGAGAGAGCGGTTCTTGAGTGATGCACCCAGAATCAGGCTCCCTCCTCTCTGGTTCCTGAACCGTAGCTGCCAAGTCACCACAGCTCTGCAGCTCCTGCTTTGAGCATATGCCCCCTGGTGGTCAGTGCGCATCATAGCTACCATTCTGACAGTCGGAGGGTCGTTTAGGCTTTTATATATAGAGATAATAGTAATGCTGGTGAGCATGTGTTGCAGGCTGACTGTGCCAAGCACTGTACCTGCAGCATTCCCTCCAGGCTGTATGTTTCATGAGGGCAGGGCAGTTCTGCCTGCTCAGGGCCCTTCCCAGTGCCCAGCAAATAGGATGTTCACAGTGAATGTTTGTTTAATATTGAAGTCATCATATATTCATTCGGCAAATATCAAGCAACCACTTGTTTCAGAAACAAGAAGCTCCCGCTCCCTGCCCCGTTTGCTTGCCTGACTCCCAGGGTCTTGTCTACTTGCCCCACTTCCACCATCAATAGGCCCCTGGGGATGGGAAGGCGGCTGGTCAGCCTTTCTGACGCGCTGCCCTGTCCTCTGGCCTAGGCTGTGTAGCCTATCGGGATGAGAAGGGTTCAGACTTTATCCAGACTCTGGTGGAGGTCCTCAGAGCGACCCCCGAGGGAGACCTCCTGGAGCTGCTGACGGAGGTGTGTTGGGGAATGGGGGTTGGCAATAGGGGAGAGGCCAGATTCATCCTTCTTAGCCCTGGCGTCCTGATCGCCTCCTGTGCACCCCGTTGGTGAGGGGGGGATCCCCAACCTCAATGGGATGGGACGGCCGAACACATGACACCCACAGCGGCTATCAGTCAGGCACTCACAGCCTGGGGGGCGGACACCCTACACCAGGCAGGGCCACTCGGGGCTGCACTCAGGAACAGAGTGCACCAGCAGGAGGAAGTGACGGGCTTGTCTGAATAGCTTTGCAGGTTGGCAGGGAACTGAAGCCCCTTGGGCAGAGGCTGGGGTGGAGTGTAGCTGGTCTGGCCGGTGGGGGGACTAGCTGGGTGGGGAGCCTTTCCTGCTGGGGGGTGGGGGACGTATCTGACAAGAGCAGGGGGGCTCCTGGCTAGTCCTTTGGAGCCCTATGAGGCCCAAAGATATCAAGGCAGCACTTGAAACTTTCGGCCTTACAATACACTGGGTGCCAGACTCGGCACGAGAGGAGCTGGGCACAGGCTGAGTGTGGTCCTCGCAGGTCAATCGGCAGGTGTGTGAGCTGGATGTGCGGGGTCCGGACTGCAATGAGCGCCGCAAGGCCTGCCTGGAGATCCGCAGCTCCCTGAGGCGCCGGCTCTGCCTGCAGGCCTGACTGCAGCCACCCAGTTGTGCTGACGGAGTGGCCACACCCAGGGCCACCACCGACTCCATCCAGCCTCAGTTCCCTCACCTCTAAATGGGGCATCACAGCAGGTGCTGGGCTCAGCTGCAGACCTGGCCTCTGCCTTCAGGACTGTCAGAGTCCAGATTGGGCCACAAGGCCTGGAACAAAGCATTGACGGTTAGCGGTGCTGTGGTGGGGAAAGCACAGCGGTGCGGGGAGCAGTGGGCAGCTCCTGGCCCAGCGCCAGCCGGGAGCCTGCGGGAAGCGATCGGAGGGGCCCCTCCCCGCAGGAGGGGCCGGGCGGCCTGATTGGGTCTGGAATTTGCAGCAGCAGGACCACGTCTTCAGTCGGTGCTCAAGAGCCTTTGTAGCCGGACCGAGCCCCGCCCACACGGAGCCCGAGGGGCTGGGGGTGGGGAAGGGTGGGGGTGGGGGGCAGCGCTCCTGTTCACTCTGAGCACGAACACCGATGCACACCACGCAGGCGCCTAGACAAGCTTTATGGAAAAAGCCGTACAGCATTTTTTCACAGGGCCGCGTGGCCTAATGGATAAGGCGTCTGATTCCGGATCAGAAGATTGAGGGTTCAAGTCCCTTCGTGGTCGCTGCTGAGGTTGGTTTTTCTCCCTCCGCTTAATATTTCCCCTCTAAGAGCCCGGAGTTACCCGTGGCGACTCCGACGCCACTCCCGGAGCCAGCGCCGGCGGGAAGCAACCGGACTGCGGACCCCGAATACTGGGAACTGCAGGAAATACAGTTCAGATGAAGAAAACCGTCCCAGAGGAGGTTTCGGACTGTTGGGGGAGGTACGAATAGAGGATTTGCCCCAGGATGCCTTTTAAAATGTAAGAGATTATTGTGATGAGAAAGGTTTGGAAATAGTGGTAATGGCTGCACAATATGTGAATGTAATTGATACCACCGAATCGTACATTTAAAAATGGTTAAAGCTGAAACCGGTTTGGCTCAGTGGATAGAGCGTCGGCCTGCGGACTGAAAGGTCCCAGGTTCGATTCCGGTCAAGGGCATGTACCTGGATTGCGGGCACATCCCCAGTAGGAGATGTGCAGGAGGCAGCTGATCGATGTTTCTAACTCTATCTCTCTCCCTTCCTTTCTGTAAAAAATCAATAAAATATATTTTTAAAAAAATGGTTAAAATGGCAAATTTAACTATATATATATATTATATATTTACCACAATAAAGTATTTTTAAAAATGTAATAGATTACTTCAATTTCTTGCACTGAGTGTACCCTTAAATTACTATGTGAATGTATAGAGTGTCCCCAAAAATGTATACACAGTTTGAATAATCATTAATTATTAATTCCAATTAATAATTATTTAAACTGGATTAAATCTGAAAAGAAACATCAATTGAGCTATCAGCTGTTAAATGTGGATACATTTTTGGGGACACCCTATATATTAAAATTTAAATGAAGAGTATGCCCAGGATTGAGCCATCATTTTGCCCAGGAAAAATGTCTCTACCTTTGCAAAGGAATTCTCTCCAAAGGATTCTGACCAATGACCAAGGTGATGGGACCCCCCCCCCCCCCCCGCGCGCCCCCCACACACACCAGGGTAAACGCTGGGGGAATGGCACCCCATGATCAGCTCAGCTGACCTGGGGTCATGCATTGTGTCACTTTCTCTTTTATCATTTTGGTGATGTTTCAGTGGTTTATTGAGGGCTCATAAATATAAAGAAGAAAACGTCATTAAAATAAACATTTTACAGATGAGAAAGAACACCCGTCTTCCGGTAGGAAAGTAAACGCTGGGCTCTCTCAGAGTCTCAGGCCCTGCAGCTGAGCTAGCCAGGTGGAACGGGACAGGGAGCCATTACGCAGGGTCCTGAGGACAAAGGCCTAAGGCCATCGGGCTCTGCTAGAGACCGTGGAGACCTGGGCCCAGGTACCGCTTTGGACCAAAGGGGCAATGTGGGGTGGAGGGTGGAGACAAAAACTGGCACTTTTCTCAAGCTTCTGGCTGAGCCCACTCTCCCCGAAGCTCCTACAAGTTGCATTACCTTCCTGCAGCTCCTTATCCCGGGACCCAGACTCTCCTGAAAGGAGGGGGGAAGGGTTCCTCTGGGATTGAGCCCCTGACTTCCTGCACCCTTAGTGAGGGTGGGATCCCAATCCAATGAGATGACTTGACGGCTGCTGTCCCAGGTTTTTGGCCTCCACAAGTGCGCAGTCTCTTCTAACCTGAGGATGCTCCGGGCGGAAAGCATCTGAGAGGGAATGCGGGTGGATGCGGAAGTGGAGGGGCAGTAGAAGGCTGGGATGGAACTTGGAGACTGAGTGTAACCTGCAGGAAACCAGAAGAGATGATTGAGAGATTGGTGTCAGATTATTGTAGTACACCCTGGTGGCCTAATGGCTAGGGCATTGGCCTCCTAAGCCAGGGATTGTGGGTTCAAGTCCCATCTTGGGTACAAAGGATTGAATTTTAGACCCCTCAATCCAAAAAGTTATCCAGATGTATCCCTTAGATTTCAGGGGGAAATGCTGGCATCCTTTATACTATTTTAAAAACTATTTTAAAAACAATCCATTCTACCTGATGATAAAGAATAATTATTTCTTTTTCTAGGTGTGTTAATTGTATTATGGTTACATATGTATTTTTTCCCAGTTTTTTTATTTCAAGAAAAATGATTTTAAGTATAATAATGTTATATGCAATAAACACCAATTATTCAAGAAAAATGATCTTACATATAATAATATTGCATGCAAGAATAAAAGGATTTTAAGTATAATATTGCCAAAATTGTACTAACATAGTATGATCACAAAAGTTGTAGGAAATATTAAAAATCTGCAAATAACAGGATTACTTCTATTATATTCTAGAATATTTTCCCCCCTCTGGCTCTATTTTTGTTCATCAGTTTATGTTGTTCATTATATTCCACAAATGTTGCGGCCAAGGGTAAACTGAGTGGGGGGTGTGAAAGGATTAAGGAAAGACAGATAAGAGAATGAAAGCTGGGTCTCGGTGGGACGCTGCTCCCTGATGAGGAGACAGCGCCAGCGTCCACAAGCCCTGTCTTTATTTTATAGCAGGTGCCACGAGGCAAAGTAGGGGCGTGATCACGTTGTTTACAGCATTCTCCTGAGCGCCAACCCTACTCAACTACTTGCACCTGAACTCTAGCACAAGGCACGTGGGGCCACATGTTTGGACCATAGGCTCAAGCTTACAACCACAGCCGTTGGCTATAATTGTGCTGGGGGCGGGGCCCTGCCCTCAGGCTGGGACTTGCACGTGGCAATGAGAGGACCCTGTCCTTTCATTAGTCCGAGGCTTGAACCTGGCCAAAACACCGTAACCATGCCCCACACACAAATGCGTAAGATTATGTGATATTTATCTTTCTCCGACTGGCTTATTTTGCTTAGCATGATGATCTCCAGGTCCATCCATGCTGTTGCAAATGGTAAGAGTTCCTTCTTTTTACAGCAGCGTAGTATTCCATTGTGTAGATGTACCACGGTTTTCTAATCCATTCATCTACTGATGGGCACTTAGGCTGTTTCCAGATCTTAGCTATGGTAAATTGTGCTGCTATGAACTTAGGGGTGCATATATCCTTTCTGATTGGTGTTTCTGATTTCTTGGGATATAGTCCTAGAAGTGGGATTATTGGGTCAAATGGGAGTTCCATTTTTAATTTTTTGAGGAAACTCCATATTTTCCACAGTGGTTGCATCAGTCTGCATTCCCACCAGCAGTGCACGAGGGTTCCTTTTTCTCCGCATCCTCTCCAGCACTTGTTCTTTGTTGATTTGTTGATGATAGCCATTCTGACAGGTGTGAGATGGTACCTCATTGTTGTTTTGATTTGCATCTCTTGGATGATTAGTGACTTTGAGCATGTTTCATATATCTCTTGGCCTTCTTTATGTCCTCTTTTGAAAAGTGTCTATTTAGGTCCTTTGACCATTTTTTGATTGGATTGTTTATCTTCCTTTTGTTGTATGAGTTCCCAGTAAATTTTGGAGATTAAACCCTTATCAGAGATAACATTGGTAAATATGTTCTCCCAAGCAGTGGGCTTTCTTGTTGTTTTGTTGATGGTTTCTTTTGCTGTGCAGAAGCTTTTTATTTTGATGTGGTCCCATTTGTTTATTTTCTCTTTGGTTTCCATTGCCCTAGGAGCTGTATCGGTAAAGATATTGCTACGACATATGTCTGGTATTTTGCTGCCTATGGATTCTTCTAAGATTTTTATGGTTTCCCGTCTTACATTTAAGTCCTTTATCCATATTGAGTTTATTTTTGTGTATGGTGTAAGTTGGTGGTCTAGTTTCATTTTTTTGCATGTATCTGTCCAATTTTCCCAACACCATTTATTGAAAAGACTATCTTGACTTCATTATGTGCTCTTGCCTCCTTTGTCAAATATTAGTGGAGCATAATGGCTTGGGTCTATTTCTGGGTTCTCTGTTTGGTTCCATTGGTCTATATGTCTGTTCTTGTGCCAGTACAGGCAGTTTTGAGAACAGTGGCTTTGTAAAATAGCTTGATATCTGGTATTGTGATCCCTCCAACTTTGTTCTTCTTTCTCAGGATTGCTGCAGCTACTTGGGGTCTTTTTTTATTCCAGATGAATTTTTGGACAGTTTGTTCTAGGTCTGTGAAATATTCTGTTGGTATCTTTTTTAAAAAAATATATTTTATTGATTTTTTACAGAGAGGAAGGGAGAGGGATAGAGAGCCAGAAACATCAATGAGAGAGAAACATTGATCAGCCGCCTCCTGCACGCCCCCCACTGGGGATGTGCCTGCAACCAAGGTACATGCCCTTGACCCGAATCAAACCCGGGACCCTTGAGTCCGCAGGCCGACACTCTATCCACTGAGCCAAACCGGTTCTGGCTATTCTGTTGGTATCTTAATGGGGATTGCATTGAATCTATAGATTGCTTTGAGTAGTATAGACATTTTAATGATGTTGATTCTATCAATCCATGAGCGTGGTATATTCTTCCATTAATTTATGTCTTCCTTTCTCTCTTTTTTCAACGTCCTGTAGTTTTCTGAGTACAGGTCTTTTACCTCCTTAGTTAAGTTTATTCTTAGGTATCTTAATTTTTATTTTTATTTTTTTGCAATGGTAAAGGGGATTGTTTGTTTAGTTTCTCTTTCTGTGAGTTCATTATTGGTGTATAAAAAAGCCATAGATTTCCTGGTGTTAATTTTGTATTCTGCTACATTGCCAAATTGATGTATTAAGTCTAGTAGTTTTTTTGTGGAATTCTTGTGGTTTTCTATGTACAATATCATGTCATCTGTGAATAAGGACAGTTTTACTTCTTCTTTTCCAATTTGGATGCCTTTTATTTCTTCTACTTGTCTAATTGCTATGGCTAGCACTTCAGTACTATGTCGAACAGGAGTGGTTAAAGTGGACATCCATGTCTTGTTCCTGTTCTTACAAGAAATGGTTTTAGTTTTTGCCCATTGAGTATGATGTTGGCTGTAGGTTGTCATTATATGGCCTTTATCATGTTGAGATATGCTCCCTCTATTCCAACTTTGCTGAGAGATTTTATCAAAAATGGGTGTTGGATTTTGTCAAATGCTTTTTCTGCCAGCCTGGTCGCTCCTAACTGCCCTCCCCTGCTGGCCTGGTCACCCCTAACCATCTCTGCCTGTGAGAACATGATCTAGAAAACTAGAAGTTTCCTATATATAACACATGCCTGTAGAAGAGATGACCACTGGAGATTTGTCATCCATCCATACAAAAACATAGTTCTGCAACATGCATAATTCAATTATGTATTGGATTTTTAACAATATCAGCCACGAAGCTATAAAATTATTTTATGGCTGTCATAAAATGTCCCTGTCTCTGAACACGACTTAGGCTGAAAGTTTAAAGTCTTGATCTTGTCATCTTCTTTCCGTAAGCAAGCCAGTGCACGCAGTATCCTTTCCATGCCACGGTCCTTGTAGTCACCTTTACCGCCGTAACAGTCCAGTGCAGCAGCCACGTGGTTCCCCAGAGCACTTGCTTCAGTCACCACGCTGTCATTATCAACCAAGTGATTGTGGTTTGATCATGAGGCCACTGTGTGCCATGAATTACCAGTATCCCGTTTCATGTTGGCAAGGAGCTCAGTACTCCGTTCAAGCCCAAGTTCATTACTGAATTAAGGTACATAAACAATCAGAAAAACCATCCATTTGGGGGTGAGAGAAATGGGGAGAGGTTGGTAAAAGGTACAAACTTTTAGTTGCAAGTTATGGGGATCTAATGTATAGAATGATGACTATAGTTAATAATAACATAGTGTATACTTGAAATTTTCTGAGAGAATAGATCTTGTGTTCTCAACACATGTGCGGTAACCAGGTGAAGTGATGATGTGTTAATTAGCTTGATTGTCATAATTATTTCACAATGTATAGTTATATCAAATCATCATATTGTGTACCTTTAATATATATGATTTTTGCTTGTCAGTTATACCTCAATAAAGCTGGGGGGGGGAGAAAATCCACTCATTATTTTAACAGATTATTAATGAAAAAATGATTAATAAGGTATAAAGAATTGTTAATGAGGCAGAAAGGGAACACAGAGAAAGCAGCTACCACCTATATAGCTGGGAGACCAAGGAAAGAGGTGAAATTTTTTAAAGCATTGATTTGAGATTGAAGAGAGAGAGAGAAAGAGATCCATCTGCCACTCCACCCACCCATGCATTCATTAACCCACAACCTTGGGGCATCAGGAAAACACTCTAACCAACTGAGCTAACCAGCTGCCTCCTGCACACCTCCTACTGGGAATGTGCCCACAATCAGGGTACATGCCCTTGACCAGAATCGAACCTGGGGCCCTTCAGTCCGCAGGCCTACACTCTATCCACTGAGCCAAACCGGTTAGGGCCAAGGTGAGATTAGTAAAAATTAGAAGCTTGGAGAGGGTTTAGGGAGCTCTGAAAAAGAGGTGCCACTCAGCTAGTGTGGGTGTTTTTGAGCTCAGAAAAGAGCTGGAATGCAGATCTCTGAGGAAGGAACCTTAGTCAGCTTGCACTGATGTTTCTAATGAGCTATGATGAGGCTGATTCTGTGAGTGTTGGGAAAACTTCAAACTGGATTCAGCTGCAATTTCTGGAATGAACTGTTGTTGCATGGATAAAAAACAAAGGGAGGGGGATGCAATAGGAACAGGAAGGAGGCGGTAGGGAGTCCTTTCTCTTCCAGCCTTTCAGTCTCTCTAGTCCCCCCTCTTGGCAAATCTACACAGTCTCCCTAAATAGGGGCTAAAAGGGCGAGTTTGAAGTGGAGAAGTAAGCGTGTAATAACTGGCACACCTGCCCTATCCTATTCTCCTACTTCCTTTCAGATGCCTCCTGTCTTAGACTTATTTCTAGGAAACTTGTCCAAAAACAGTGGGAGCCAGACTTCAAGAATGAGGTTCCAGCCCTAGCCGGTTTGACTCAGTGGATAGAGTATTGGCCTGTGGACTGAAGGGTCCCTCCCGGGTTCGATTCCAGTCAAGGGCACACGCCGGGTTGCAGGATCGATCCCCAGTAGGGAGCATGTAGGAGGCAGCCAATCAATGATTCTCTCTCATCATTAATGTTTCTATTTCTCCCTCTCCTTCCTTTCCTCTCTGAAATCAATTATATATATATATGGAGAGAGAGAGAGAGAGAGACAGAGAGAGAGAGAGAATGAGGTTCTAAAGTTGAATCACTTGCTGACTGCCTCCTGCATGCTGTATTCCGTTCCCAGATTCACTCTAGCCCCTTCCCCTTTATAATCCTGCCCCCTGCACCTTGCTGGAAGACAGGATTTGAATGCCTGTGAGCACCCTGTTTTCTTGGTTGGCTGACCTTCTCAATAAACGCCTTATATGATTCAACCCGCCTTCGTAATTGGACACAGTGACAGGCAGCCCGAGCTCAACTGGGAGTTTCCCGGGTAACACTAACCCGTCCCCAGAAAGGCACCCACACTTCCCTCACTGCTTGCTTCTCAGGAGCGCAGTGACACCTAACCACTGTTCGGAGGATCCCACGATTCCCATTTTCTTTCTACTTTAGGTGGGGGAGGTGCTGGAACAGGGCTGGATGACCAATAAAGGACTCCCTTCACTGTTGCTTCTCTGTCCCAGGAAGGAAGAAAACGGAGGCAGGCACGGGCACGGGCAGGGGCACAGTGTTGTGGAGGTGAGAGTCCTGGGCTGGGGAGCCCCTCAGGACACCACACCTCGTGGAGGGAAAGGCTCAGGACCCGAGTTAAGAGGCTCTACCTTTAGCTGGAAGTCCAGTTCCAAGTCCTTTACTGTCGGTCTCCAAGTACTTCAGGGGGTAATTCTTAGCCTAGATACTTTTGTGTCAATTTCAACTTCTTAAATTACAAATATATATATATATATATATATATATATATATATATATATATATATATATATATATATATATATATATATATATATATATAAATGAAACACGAATGAGACAAAAACAGGTTATTCTGGTGAGACTGGGGTCAGCTCCGTGAGCTGTCCTCCCTGGGCCAGCAGCAGGTTTTCCTTAGGAAGAGATTTCGTTTTCATAGACCCAGGCACCTCTGCTTAGTCCCCATGGGGCAGAAGTCACACCCAGCGCAGGGCTCAGACCCGCCACCGGGGGTGTGGGGGCTCTCAGGCTGCACTAACTGAGCTGGCCAGGCAGTGAAAGGGCTCATCACCCCAACGCTAGTTGCAGCTGCCTGGAACTTTCGCCCAACACTGGTAGGAACCACCCTGGATCCCCTCGTGCTGCGTTCGGCCCCGGGCGCTGACTTTGCGGGTCCTGTGGGCAGGAAGCGAGGGGGCCTCCGGCGTCCGTCTGCCGCCCTGTGGGTCTCGGTGCCTCAGCAGCTCCAGAGGGCGGGCAAGGACGGGGTGTGGGAAGTGCCGGATTCCAACCACCGACTCCCTCATTTCAACCTCGCAGCCCTTCGTAGGGCGCAGCAAGAGGCAAATCAGGAAGACTGGCGGGGGGGGGGGGGGGGCAGGTGGATGCATCAGGAAGACTGGGGGGGCAGGTGGATGCATCAGGAAGACTGGGGGGGCAGGTGGATGCTGGCTGAGGAAAGAAAAGTTGGGGGCGTTGGAGCTGCCCTTGGGGAAGAAGTGCGCTCCGCTCCGACCCCCTCTGACCCCTGCGTGGGTTCCAGAGGGCTCTCGGCTGGGGACAGGGGCCCCGGTCTGTGCGGACCCCGAGATGCTCGAGGATCCCCTGGGGGCGACAGAGCGTGACGCTCAGGTGCTGCCCTCGGGTCCCACTTGGGTGAAGTTTCCGGGCCGGGGCCCGCCTCCGCGCTCACCCAGGCTCGGCCCCTTCCTGCCACCGCCCCTCCTCCGGTGATTGGCGCCGGGGCTCGGGCTCCGCGGGTCCAGGGGAGGGGGAGGCCGCGGGTCCCCACCGCGCAGGCCTGGCGGCGCCGCGCCTCCTCCCTCCGCAGGTCCCGCTCCCGGGACAGAGAAACCCGAACCGGCGGGAGGGCGGGAGGGCGGAGCCGGCGGAGGCCTCCAGGACAAATGGCAGCCGCTCCTCGGCGAGCCGGCTCGTTGGTCTAGGGGTATGATTCTCGCTTTGGGTGCGAGAGGTCCCGGGTTCAAATCCCGGACGAGCCCACTTTTTCCCCCTCCCGCGACCCGAGGCTTCCTCCCGGAGCGGAGCCGGGACCGCCGGGCGCGGGACGAGCGAAGATGGTCGGTGTGTGCCCCGCGGTCTCCAATCCCGCGACCGGGAAACATGGCTGCGAATACCTTTTTGCTTTGGGTGTGAAAGGTTATAAATTCAAATCTGGAGGAGCCACGTTTCCAAACGCCCTTTTCCTTCCTGGGGGGCTGTCCGCAGGGAAGGAAGGACCCCGCAGCGGAAGGCTGGGGGGAGGGGGGGCGCCGAGGGCAGGAGCTCCTCCGGTCTCCGAGGCTGCGCTCCGGCATGGGGCGTCTTTTCTTCTCGCTGAAGGACTGCAGTGCTTCCTTACTCAGATCTGATGAGACCACCAGCTCCGGCCATTGAAAAGACGGCCTGTTACTCACAGCTCCCAAGCCCTGGGGACACGCGGCCTCAGGGGGAGCACCAGGTGGGTCCAGGGCAGAGGGATGCGGGGGACCTGGGCCAGCGCTTCATGGTGGTTTCCCGGGAGGTGAGACAGGGGGGGCCGGGTAAGCAGGTTTCCCAGTAGATGGGCTCGTTTGAATAATTTCAGCCGGCTCCGGGTTAGGTGCCGTCCTGCGATGTCTGTTTCCTGGCCTCGGGGTGATTCTGGAAGGCGGACCGGGGCTCTGAGTGAGCCAGATACAGAGCTGCTCTGGGGCAGTGGACTCCGGATTGGTTGGTTTGCATTTGAAATGCCTGCTCGTGGGGAGGGGGAGTTGCTATCTCCACAGACTGGGTAACTCCGGGAGGGGCAGCCAGAGCTTCAGGATACAGAAAATAGAAGACACGGCTGGTACAGGCAGGGACTGGAGCTTCGGTGGAAGTTTCACGGGGGCTCCCAGCTGGGAAGAGTTTCCTGATCGCAATCACAGAGGCATGCCTGGCCCAGGGGTTGCCACACAGCCACCCAGTCCCCTTCCCTGCAAGCTGCTTCGGGGCCAGAGTCCCCGGGAGCCTGCAGCCTGGCAGGCAGGCGGCTGGGCCCGTCTCTGATCTAAACCTCCGTGGTTTCTCTACTTATGCCTCGCCTCGGGGGAGGGGGTGATCTGGGTGCCTCTTTCAAGCCTTCCACTCTGGATTCCTGAGTGAGTGGGTCTCCTGGGCAGAAACCAGAGCCCACGCGGATGCCCAGGGAGGGCTCTTCCTACCCTAAGGCCCATGGCGTCAAGGGAGGAACCAGGCTCCCTGGCCAAGGCTTTCTTCTCTGGTGATCAGAATCTTCTAAGACTCCCCGTCCTTAAGGGGAAACCACTACGGCCTCCACAAGCAGGCTAGTTCCTCTCCAAAGTCCTCTTCCGCGCCGGCCCTCCCTCGGGCCCCCCTTCCCACTTCTGCGTCAGGGTCCGCTCCCCTGTCCACCCAGCCTCAGCCCAGGGCCTGGCTGGAGCGGGGCTCAGTGTCATCTGTCCGATGGACGGGGAGTGGACAGTCCAGGACAGCGAAGAGCATGCTGCCGAGGAAGGTCCCTCCCTGTTCAGGAGGCCTTATTCTCGCTTCAGCTTCAAATCCCAGAGGAGCCCTTAGTTTGTCATTCCTGGCTATTTTAGGGCGTAAGTGGAGTCCCCAGCAGAGTGGAGTGCGTCTGGGATTGTGGGGATAGATGGGAGGCAGGCTGCCCGGAGGGTGCAGATCCCAGCTGAGGCCGGGTGTCCAGGGGTGCTCAGTGGACAGGGAGACGCCTGCCCCAGGCTATGAGCAGTGGCAATGTGGGATGTCTCCCCTGAGGGCTCCATGAATTTCCTCAATATCCTTCCTCATCGTTTTGCTCCCTACTGAAATATCCCCACTTCCTGTACACCCTCCTGGTTGGGATGCTGGTCTTGGACTCCAGAAGTTGGGTCCCTGGACAGGAAATGGGGAAATGACAACAGAACCCATTGCCCTGTATGTGGTCAACGAACCCATGAACTTAAAATAATTGTTAGGCCTACTGGATTCCAATTGTTCACATTACTCCAGCTGTTTGTGTGTGTTTTTGTTTGAGTTGTCTGAAAACTATTTTATTTTTTAAAAATTAAGTTATTCTGCCCCAACCTTTCTTGATTTGCCCTTTGGGTAATTCTGAGCTGCCACCTGGCTGTGAGGGCAGAGAAAGTTGGAGACTCTGGGGTGCCCACCAGGTTTCCTGCCACAGGGCCTTGAATGGCAGGTGTGAGCAGCTGAAACGGGATGAGAAAATACTGAAGTTGCTGGATGTGAGCATGGTATTGGGGATATTATAAAACAAAAGAACTTTCTTTGTAGAGATATTTGCAAAAAAAAAAAGGCAAAATGCTTTTATTGGCAAAGCAATATTATATGTGCTTTAAAATATTTTTTTTAAAAAGTGGAGGAAGATAGTTTTCTTTGTAATTTATTGATTTTTTTTTTTGAGAGAGAGAGAGAGAGAGAGAGAGAGAGAGAAACATCGATTTGTTGCTCCACTCATTCTTGCATTCATCTGTTGATTCCTGCATGTGCCCTGACTGGGGATCTAATCAGAAACCTTGGTACATGAGGATTACATTCCAACCCACTGAGCTACCCAGCCAGAGCAGATAGGTTTTAAAAAATATACAAGAACAGAGGAGGCTGTGCGCATGTGGGGGCAGAGGATTTATGAGAACTATATATTTCTGCTCAATTTTGCTGTGGGCCTAAAACTTCTCTTAAAAATACACAGAAAATTTTCAGCCTCTTCTAATACTATTTTAGCCCCATCTTTCTCTTCTCTTGGGCCTCCAATGACTCAAACACTAGATATTTTGTTAAAGCCCACAAATCCCTGAGGCTCTTTTTTTTTTTTTTTTTTTTAAATCCATTTTCTCTCTTTTTTCAGATCAGATCATTTCTATCATTCTACCTTTAAGTTCACGGATTCTTACTGCTGTCTTGTCCATTCTACTGTTGCCCATCCATTACGTTTTTTATTTAGGTTATTGTATTTTTCAGTTCTAAGTTTTCCATTTTGTTATTCTTTATAGCTTCTATTTCTTTGAGACTTTCTGGTTTGTTTGGGGTTTTTTTGAATTCTCAATCGGGTTGTAATTGCTGTTTGGAGTATGTTTACGGTGGCTGCTTTCCTGCCTTTACAACCCTGTCAGGTGGTTCCAACATCTGGGTCGGTGTCTCTCAACTGTCCTATCTCCTCCAAGTTGACATTTTTCCTGGTTCTTAATATGACCGGTGATTCTCACTGCATCTTGGACATTTTCGGTGTTACGTTAGGAAAGTCGATCTTACTTGTCTCTGGTTTACCAGCCTCCTCTGACACAGCGCCCTCTGGTGGGTAAAGAGGGCGCCGCACCGTTGTTGGGGGGGCCGCTCACCCCGGGCGGGGCCTCCTTTGCTGCTGGGCAGGAGTGGAGTTGAAGATCCCCAGGAGGCCTCCACTGACACCTTCTGGCTGAGGGAGAAGGTGGTCGCCCCCTACTCCACCAGGACAAAGAGAAGGATGGGGCAATCTCTATGTCCATCGTTAAAGGCCAGAGTAATGCAGGCAGGACAGGGGGCTGCTGCTGGGCACGGGGCCACAGGCTGAAGTAGCCCTGCGGTCTCTGCTCAGATCCCAGGAAGGGAACGGGGAGGTGAGGAGAAACTTGGACCAAAGTGGAGAGATCTGCTTTGTGAAGTGGATGCTCAGGGTACCCCGACACCACACTGGTCACTATTAACAATAAACAGTAGTATAAGGCCACTGGCCAGACCCTGGTTCACCCTGAACATAGTTGGGGGGCTTCGTGGACCAAGGCCCGGGAGTTATCGGCCCAGTAGGGTTGGCTGGGTGCTTCCCGGGGTGGGGGGCGGGGGCAGGAGTTACAGAAGGTGAGGTGTCCCAGGCTGACTCTGCGAAAAGGGGTAGGGAGGGGGGCCTCAAACGTGAGACTTGAATCACACACCTAAACTTGTCCTGCACCTGCCCATCTCCCCGCCCACCACTGCCTCAGCCTTTCCTGATCCCAAGTGGCCCTGCAGGAGGTGGGGTGTGTTCAGCCCACAGCCCTGAAAGTAGGACAGTTCAGTCAGTATCCCTGGACCTTGGGGCGGGGGCAAGGGGGGGGGCGGGATCTGGGACATTGCCCCATCTGAGGGAGGGGGAGAAAGTAGACGGAATCAAGGACACCTACAGAAGACAGTTCGGTTTGCTGGTATAGGGGTGTGACTTCTGCTTTGGATGCAGGTGGTCCCAGGTTCAGATTCTATGTGAGCTCTGTAATTCGGATATTTTTCTTCCCGGGATGGTCCCGTTGCTACAACCCAAAAGGGCCAGGGTCTGCTCAGGGCTGGCCTGGGCCTGTGTTCACTTCTTTCTTTTTTCTTTCTTTAAAAAAAAAAAATTGTATTTACTTGATTTCAGAGAGGGAGGGAGAAGGAACAGGGAAATAGAAACAACAGTGATGAGAGAGAATCATTGATTGGCTGCTTCCTGCAGGCTCCCCACTGGGGAATGAGCCCCAAACCAGAGCCAGCAGGTCTGGCTCATTTTCTTTCCTAACCTTCACGAGGTGCAAAGAAACATCCGTCTCCAATCGTGGGAGTCCTAGAAGGTGCGTCTTTCAGCGGATGCTGACATTTTTTGGCGACGGAAACCACCCTGGGTGAGACCCATAATCCCTGATTTAGGAGGCCAGTGCCTCCTCCGTTAGGCCCCTGCGCGCTGCCCCACGCGAGCTTCCTTTCTCGGACCCCCACCCCTTGCACACTGGTGGGTACCTCCAGGTGCCCCGCGGCGCCCACGGTGCGGAAGGGCCCCGCGTTCCCCGCACAGGCCCAGCATTTTGCTGTGCTGGTTCCGCTGTGTAGGGCCCGGCGCGGCGTGGAGAACCAGCACCGCCCCACTCAGGTCCCGGCCCCACTCCAGCTCCGCGGCACCTTGTCCCACAAATGCCCTTGGGCTGGGACCCAGGACCCTCCAGGAGAGACAGGCCGCACCCCTCAAATTCCGGGCGCCCGGCTGCGCACCCAGCGACCCCAGACCTCAAACCGGTTCAACCGAGCGCTCAGCGCCCAGGCCCGTGCGAGCCGGCGGGGAAGCGGCCGGATGCACAACCCCGGCAGCTCCGGTGTCAGCTACTGTCCCGCTGCTGTCGGGGCAGAAGCCCCACCTCCGTTCTCCGTTCTCCGTTCTCCGTTCTCCGTCCCCTCCGGTTGCAGCGTTGGAACTTCAGCAACCAAGGCATCCGAGGCCCCAGGACAAAGGCCAGAGAGCCTGGCCGGCTCAGCCTGTCATATGAGAGTCGTGGGCTCAATACGCGCCCCTCCTTGGGCTTTCCCAGGCTCCTCAACAGCTAATCTGCTTAGCGATCTTCGCAAGAAGAGCTCCGGCTCCTCCTCGGCACCACACTTGGGTGAGATTCCTTCCCGGGGTTCGGAGGTGTAATTTGGGGGGAGGTGGTCTAAATACACAAAGGCAGGGTTGTGGGTGAGAGGTGGGGGTGCTGAGCTGAGGCTCTTATCTGAGGGACCAGGCCAGCACCCCTCCTGGGGCCCCCTCTTGTGGCCCTGAACCTGTGGGTTTAACGGAGGCCTCCACCCACTCTGGGCTCCCAGCTGGAACAAGTCTGACCATCTGATTACAGGGTCCAGACCAAACTGGAACCCATCATATAAAAGGACGCAGGTGACACCCCAAGATGTGCCCTCCTGGCCTTTTCCAGACAAGCTGTATGCAGACCCACAGGAGCAAGCCACCGTCCCCCTCCCCGTCAGGAGGAAGCCAGGAGCCCCAGTGACAGTGAGGACAATGCAGGGAATAAGGAACAGACCTGTTTAACACTAAACCTGACCCCGATTTCTGGGGCCTTCTGCCCTCCCTCCCCAAGTGCAGGCAGTCTCATCCCCTCCTTGTCCACCGTCCCAGCTCCAGCATGTAGGAGATCCTTCCAGCTGTAGGAGACCCTGTCCCTGATCACAGCTACTGAGGTCCCCTGGACAGGTTGGCACTCGCTATATCCCCAGCCCAAGGCCTGGCTCAGTCAGTGACTTACAGAAGAATGGATGGCTCCGGCCCCCACAGAACCAGGGGGTAAAACCATTTTCCTCCATGAAAGGGAGAGAGAGAGGTAAAGAAACTGACCTTGACGGACATGTTAATCTAGGGCTACTACTCTCTGGGCTTTGGGAGTGAGAGGCCCTGGATTCAGGTCCCTGACAAGCCCTTTCCTTACACCAGGGCATGTTTGTAGTGTGTATGCCACGGCGGACCCTTTATTTTACGATGAAAAAAAGGACACATATGTAATACCTTTTGTAACACTTTAAGCAATAAAACAATAAAAAAAAATTGTGACTAAAAAAAAAAAAAGAGGGGTTGATAATGGAGATGGTGGAGAGAGGAGGTTCTTGGTGCCTGATCCCGCCCCAACCCCCCAGTTTTCAGATCCCACTTTAGGACACTGTAGACATACAGAGCTAACTCCTGTCCCAGAGCCCTGTACCCAAACTTTCTTGCACAGGCTCCATCCCTGAACCCCAGTCCCTGGAGAACTCAGTGCTTCCTGGAGAAATCTGGCCTGGGAAATTCCCATGGCCAATTGGTTTGTGGCCTGGGGTCTTGAGCCTCCCCCTAGGTGTGAAAGGTCCAGGACACAAATCCTGGGCAGTCCTTTTAGGGATGGAGGAGGGTTGCAGGACTAGGCTCCTCAATTCCCAACCAGGACTCCACAAATCCAGACCTACAATGCTTGGACTCTCAAGGGCCTCAGTTTACTCATCTGTAAAGTGGGGATACCAGCAGGTCAGGCCTCAAAAACTTATTTGGGATATTAAAACTTATTTTTTGGGATATTAAAACTTTCAACAGTGCCTCAAGACTATAACATGAACTCCTGAGTTTCCAGCCTGCCTCCCCACCCCAGTCCCAATCCTTCAGCTGGTCCGGTGGAAGCCAGGTTTTCTCTCCAAGGCCCCACCCACCTCCCTGCCTCACACTCTCCTGACTGGCTTTGGGCAGGAAACGGAACAGTCTCTTGTTCAAAATGGGAAGATCCTGGCTCTGTGTCAATCCCTCCAAAGAAGCTGGATTCTGCGGGCCTGCTCCCACTAGGAAGGATTCGAGTCTGAGTTCAGCAAAATCTTTCGAGGGCCAAAACCGGTTTGGCTCAGTGGATAGAGCGTTGGCCTGCGGACTGAAGGGTCCCAGGTTCGGTTCCGGTCAAGGGCATGTACCTGGATTGCGGGCACATCCCCAGTAGGAGATGTGCTGGAGGCAGCTGATCGATGTTTCTCTCTCATCGATGTTTCTAACTCTCTGTCTCTCTCCCTTCCTCTCTGTAAAAAATCAATAAAATATATTTTAAAAAAAATCTTTCTAGGGAAGAAGGAATCAGTGGGTCAGACCTGGCTTTCCATCACCCTGTGGAAGGTGTCCCTGGTTCCCGTATCTCTGGAGCAGCCTCAAGCTGAATCACCCCCCTCCAATGGCTTCAGGGTGGTTCTGGGACCCAGGGACTCAGGGCACAGAGAAGGACTAGGACCCAGCTTGGTGCCTGGCAACATCAGGGGGTCTCGGGCTACATGTGACCTTTGGAGTCTGGGTTGAAGGCAATGGGTACAACTGAAAATGTCCATATTCCGGTTTCGACTGTGGCATCACATTGATCTAAAACTCGGCTTTAACTTAAAGATTCAGTAAGCTGTAGCTGTGTGGTTTCCCGCCAGCTCAGTCAGTGGAGGAGACTCTTGATGTCAGGGCCGTGGGTTTGAGCCCCAGCTGGGTGGATTTTTGCTGGGCGGGTTTTTAAATCGCCAGTTGTGGGCATCTGGGTTCCCGGTCCTTGTGGGCTGTTTTTCTGCTCCTTGTAGGTTGTTTTTCTGATCTGGGTTTTCCACCTAGGTCTAAAAGCTCCCTGATGGGGCACAATGAGAGTTAAAATAAAAGCAGTTATAATAGTTACTAGTGGCCTGGTGCACGGATTTGTGCACTGGTGGGGTCCCTCGGTCTGACCTTCACCCTCTCACAATTTGGGATCCCACGGGGGATATCAGACTGCTGGTTTTAGCCTGATCCCTGCTGCGCCTGCCACTGCTGCTTGGTAGCTGCCATGGAGGCAGGAGAGGCTTGCGCCTCTGCAGCTGCACTTGCCAGCCATGAGCCCAGCATCTGGTGCCCATCAGTCAGCTGAGCGGTGCTCCCACTGTAGGAGCACACTGACCACCAGAGGGCAGCTCCTGTGTTGAGTGTCTGCCCTCTGGTGGTCAGTGCACATCACAGCGACCAGTCAACTGGTTGTTTGGTCGTTTAGGCTTTTATATATATAGATAATAAAAGCAGATGCCTGCTCACCCCGGCTATGCTGGGTTTCAGCTCTTGAACCAGGGTCTGCCTTCTGGACCCCCATTTCTGGAGGGCCAGGAGACTAGCAGTCCCAGGCCAAGACAAGGATCAATGACGCCCTTTAAGGCCGACCTGAGGGCTTCCTCACTCCCTGTTGGCAGAGGCCCTGGGAAGGAGTCCCACGAGGGTTACCCTCCCCAGGGCTGTCCCCAACTAAAAGACAAGAAACTCTGAAAACTGGACTCCTCTGGGACTTGACCCTCTTCGAACACTAAGCGAGAATCATCCCTTGAACGAATGAGCCACCCACGGAAACTCCTGTTGCTGCTAACCTCTCACTCAGCAACGCTGTCCAGACTCCAGTCCCCCTGGTCCCCATGGGGTCATGTTGGGGGAGAGTTTGATTCAGATGTCTGATCAAGTAGAGGGGTACAGGGATCCTAACGTTTAGTAGTCTGGGAATTCCAGTGTCTGTTTTGTCCCTGCCTCCGGTCCCTGCCCCCTGCCTCCTAAGAAACAGGGGACAGATGATTGGTCTGTGTGGCAGCAGCCTGGCTTGGGGTATGGCTTCCACTCCCTGACTCTTGTTTCCTCCACTGGGGAAGCCCATGGGGAGACCACCCACCCTGGTAGGAGGCATAAGAGGTTTTGGGACGTCCCAGAATTGTAGCAGCTCACCAGAGCCAAATGTATAGGTGTGGTCCCTAACAACTGAGCCACCTGGTTGATTGTGTAAGTTTTCCCTTGTCAGCTGCCGGAGGAGAAAGAGAAAGTAAAAGAAGGGGGGCAGGGGCAAGGCAAGCGTGGCATGGTGGCTTCTTGATCTAAGGCAGGGATTTTCAACCCTTTCCATCTCCTGGCACACAGAAACTGATGACTAAAATCCTGCTGCACATCACAAAATATATATTTTTTGCCGATTTGACAAAAAAAAATAGGTATACAATAGTTTTGATTCATTCACACGGATGACTATTGTTCTGTTGGCTGTTTTTTTTGTTTGTTTTTTTACAATCTAAGGGGAAAGTAGCCAGTGCCCCTGACTAGTCGGGTATCACATGGGTTTTGTGTGTGTGTGTGTGTGTGTGTGTTTAAAATATTTTTATTGATTTCAAAGAGAGAGAGAGAAACGTAAATGATGAGAATCATTGATTGGCTGCCTCCTGAACGCCCCCTACTGGGGATGGATCCCGGAACCGGGCACGTGGCCTGACCAGAATCCACCGGTGACCTCTGGTTCATAGGTCGAAGCTCAACCACTGAGAACCACAGGCTGGGCAGGTATCACGGGTGTTTTTTTAAATCTTTATTGTTGAATATAGTTTATAGTTGAAAGTATTACATATGTTCCCCTTTTCCCCCCCATTGACCTCTTCTAACCCATTCCCACCCCCACGCCCGCCCCAGGCACACGGATTGAAAATCGCTGGTCTCGGGGGGTCTGCTTCGCGCTTTGGGTGCCAGTGGCCCCGGGTTGAGTCCAGAATGAGCCCCCCTTTCCCTTTCTCTGTCTTCAGCGGGATATAGGGGAGACTTACTGGGCCGAGGCTCCTGCCGGCACAACCAGGTGGGCGCCTAGTAACGCAGAAGCATCCCTGGCGCTGGGGGTCCGCCTCCCAGCCAGCCGGGGTCAGAGGCGGAGACTCCGGAGGCTGCTCACGGGGGGAGAGCGCTACGCCGGTTGCTCGGGGAATAAGAGCTCCTAGCGTTCCAGACCAACGCCATCAAGTCCGGGGAAAAGCCTACCCACCATCCGCTAAACTTGCGATTTAGTGGGGGGCTCGGGCTTCCGGGAGCGGAACTTCAGCGGCTCCTGCCCCTCCCGCCCCCTCCCAGGCTACCGGGCCTTCCTAGGCGAGAGCGCAAGGAAATTAGCCCCACCGATTGGATGGGATGGGAGGGCGCGTGGGGCTCTGCGCTCTCTCGGGAAACCGGAGGGAGGACCCGCCTCCTCGCCCCGGGGAGCTGGGGCGCTGGGGAGGGCGCCGCGGACCCGCCCAGGTACCGCCACCCTCTCCCGGGGCCGGGCCAGGCAGGGCCCCTGAGGCCAGGACCTTTGCTGGCCGGTTGCTTTGGTCCGTAGAACAAAACGACTCTCCATGTCAGCCTCCCTCCCAGCCTCCTAGCCTCCCAGCCTCCCAGCCTCCCAGCCTCCCTCCCAGCCTCCCAGCCTCCCAGCCTCCCTCCCAGCCTCCCAGCCTCCCAGCCTCCCAGCCTCCCAGCCTCCCAGCCTCCGGGGCCGGACGCCCCAGGTCGGAAACTCATGTTCTTGGTTTTGATCTCGGGGTGGAGCGGGGAGCGGAGCCGGGGAGGAGCAGAGGCGGTGGCGGCTGCTTCACCCACTGGGTGTCACACCGTGGGGGTGCGGCGTTTTTCAAAGTGGGGTCCCCAGGAATCAGGGCTCCAGGACCTCCACGCGCCGTCGCCCCAACCGACCGGGAACTCCTCGCGCGGGCTTTTGCCCCAGCGGGTCCCGCGCGCTCGCGGCAGGGAGGGGCGCCCGGCGGTACCGGAGGCGGCGCGGGGTTCCGGGGCGGGGGTCTGTGTGGTCCCAGCGCAGGGAGGAGGCGGCGCGGGGTTCCGGGGCGGGGGTCTGTGTGGTCCCAGCGCAGGGAGGAGGCGGCGCGGGGTTCCGGGGCGGGGGTCTGTGTGGTCCCCGCGCAGAGAGGAGGCGGCGCGGGGTTCCGGGGCGGGGGTCTGTGTGGTCCCAGCGCAGGGAGGAGGCGGCGCGGGGTTCCGGGGCGGGGGTCTGTGTCGCCCCAGCGCAGGGAGGAGGCGGCGCGGGGTTCCGGGGCGGGGGTCTGTGTGGTCCCAGCGCAGGGAGGAGGCGGCGCGGGGTTCCGGGGCGGGGGTCTGTGTGGTCCCAGCGCAGGGAGGAGGCGGCGCGGGGTTCCGGGGCGGGGGTCTGTGTGGTCCCAGCGCAGGGAGGAGGCGGCGCCAGCGGAGGGCTGGGCGCGCAGGGCTGCTCCCCGGTGTGGGCTTTGGGAACCCGGGGCTGCCTTCCGGGCGGTCTGAAATCGGGGCCTCCTGCCCTTGCACATCTACCGCCTCCGCGGATCCCGCCCGGCCGCCACCCCGGCCGCCAAGAGCCTCGGCAGAAGCTCGTTGGTGTCGGGGTGCGATCTCCGTGGGTGCGGGAGATCCGGACGAGCCCTCTGGGACTCTCCAGATGTGGACCAGAGATCAGAGATCTAGGCTCGGCCTTGGGATCTCAGCACAGGGTCACGAAGCTTGGCTCCGAGGGGGAGAATTCATAAAAGGCTGACTAAGTGCATCGCACTACCGCTTTAAACAAATAAAATGAAACTTTCAAAGCGCCAAACCTTGTCTCCCAACAAGCTGGTGGCGTTGCGGGTCCGAGTTAGGTGTTCCCTCCTGTGTGCATCAGGCATCCGTGCTTCTCTAGCTGGACGCCGGACGCCTTTTCAACACCCAGCCTGGGGCTCCCCCTGCAGTCCGAGCCCCAGAGGCAGGGCCTCTCCAGGGGGCCTGGGAGCTGGGAGAGGCCATGGGTACCGGCTACTAGCGTTACTAGCGTTCGCCGCTGGCATCCCCAGGCTGCCTCCCCAGCCGTTCCTGACGCTCCCCTTTTCCTCTGGGGAGGTCGGGAAGGATGCCTGGGGGTGGCCAGTTCTTACAAAACACTCCCTCACTGGGAAGGCATCTTTCTCCCCAGTACCTGGGGGTGAGAGGAAAGTGGAGCTGTGGGAGGTGAATTAGCTCCTTCAGCCTTTCCTGCTGGTCCAGCACGTGGGCCCAGGGGAAGTCCTCCTGCAAGTGTCCGCCTGCTGGTGCCTTCAGCATGTGATGGCAAGGAGAGTGCCCAGGGGTGCCAAGAGCATCTGTCTCCAACGGGGTCTGGGGGCTGGTTACGCTGGAGAGGAGTGGGGTG